AGTTACTATCTTTAATGAAGAAAAATAAAATTATAGATTATTGACAAGTTTAATCTCCACTACCATGCTACCAACATAATAAAATAGAAGACATTATTTTTGGAGTAAGCCTTGTGTGTGTATATATATATATATATATATATATATATATATATATATATATATATATATATATATATATATATAGCTGTTTTTGTTGCCATATATTCCTATTTGCTAAGGTACCTAACTGATTCCTGTTGCAGATGCCTGATCAGGCATGTGTTTCTTCAGAACCTACAGATCCAACCTGAGCAAGCTTTAATAAGTTTCTTGGAGAGAGCTCATTAATCTAACATGATCAGTTGTTGAACAAAGCCAGTATGTTAAACACCTTGATCACAGTGTTGTGAGACTTTGTGCTTGCATGACCATCAATAGTTTCTGAGCAATCTCTTTGTACCCAATTTCACTCACAAGGATTGGTGATATGGTTTTCAGCAACTTCTCAACGGTGCTGCACGCTAAGATCATTTCCCTCAGGTCAATATTATCAAGACATCACCTCGCTTTAAAATTGACCATGGTGAGATTTGAATCCAGATCTCATTGGTGGAATACTAATATTCATGTTCTAACCAATTAGCCATGCATTATACATACTGTAGACACACACACGTGTTTGTGTGTGTGTGTGTGTGTGTATATATATATATATATATATATATATATATAATGATGGACTCTCCTGTCATTTTTGACATATAAGTGTCATTCAGTTCAGCTCTTATGTTTGTTTCATAAGAGGCAACAATCCTGCACGGGATTTGCAAACAAGTCCACATGAGGGATTTGCTGGAGTGTTGACTGTCATATAATGTAGCTTTAAGGTCTGCTATATTTATGTGTTAAAGTGCTCAATATCAAGGATTGAGTGTATGTAAATATAAAAGTTGACACTGTTTGGTTTGTTTTATGGCATATCAACCTCAATGGGTTATTTAATGCTGACAACATTTTTATTGTTGGTGATTTTTTTTTTTTTTTCAAACATGTATTGCTAGTAATATTTTTCCTTCAAAAAATCTATTTCTGGTAATATTTTTTTTTTTCAAAAAATGTATAGCTGGTAATATAGATTTTTTCCAAAAATGTATTGCTGGTAATTTTTTTTTTTTTTCTTCAAGAAATTTAATGCTGTTAATAATTTTTTTTTACAAAGTATTTCTGGTATTAAGACCTATTTTTACACTTTCATAGTGTTTTGAACCCAGTTTGGGGGTTAACTATTTACTCATAGCTGGGACCCTAACAAGTGCTACCACCCTAGGTCAGGGTGGACCTGTGAACACCAGCAATTAAGAGGTGGTTTCATGCTCCTCCAAAACTCCTGATCAGAAGCCTTGTTGCTGGACGTAGTTTCTCGTTATACCCAGGACACAAAAGTGGACACTGAGGTTAACACTAAGTGGCAACAGTCTTTCATGTTTGAGCACCATCTTCAGGCCAAAACTTTCCATGCAAGCATGAAACAGACTGTCGCCACTTGGTATTTACCTCAGTGTCCACTTATATATATAAAATATCGCCCAGTGAGTAATAAAACAGTACTCAATGTAAAATAACAGGGCTAAAATTTATACTACTACTAATAAATATACACTTTGTTCCTCACAGTTTTTATACAACTCTGAGTTTCTTACACATAGGACAGATTGAAAACTGTTTTCAATCCATACCTGGTGATTGCCTCCTGTATGACATTCAGAGCTGTATAAAATAGTGAGGAACAAAACTTATATTTATTATTAATATATAGTCATCCATAGACAGACTGTTTTGCTGTATCATAGCTCATCAGTGTGGTGAGATGTCCGGTTGCCTCTAGCTAGGATCAAAACCTGGCTGAATTGGCATCAGTCTGAGATTCTACCCCTAAGCCGTTGTCACATGGCAGGGATGAAGGTGAATTTAAGCGTATTTATTTTTAGATAAACTCACAATGATTTACATATATATATATATATATATATATATTCTTGATCCAAAAGGAATGACCTAAAACTCTGAAAACATACCTGCTTTTTAATATATTTATCTGAACAAGAATATACATGTCTATTGAATTAATTTCTTTTTTATATTTTTACTTTTCAAATCCTTAAAAAAAATGTCGTTCCTTTCAATCTCCTTTTAAGAATTTGAAGAAATAATCAGATCAACCAAATAGGGGTGGATGTTCTGAGCACTCCCACCCCAAATGATTAAAATCTTGTTAGTCTTGTGAATATTTGCATTATCCTACAAAATGAAAACTCCTTTTGGCTGATCACCCTTTTTGTTTTTCTACTTTTAAAGTCACCTTTTAATTAACACAATAAATTAGGGTAATATTCTTCATAAACACTTTGGCTCTTCTGGATAGTCTCCAAGTTCTGTGTACATGACCTTTTCTTGCTGACTTTTGAGTGTCTTTAATTTCTTCAGCTGTGTAGAACCTGTAGTGCCAATGCATGGAATATTGTTTGGTCTCTGGATTACACATTTTGAAAATAGGGAAATAACTGTGTGTTCAAAAGCACTATTTGGGCTATGCTTGGCCAGTAGTAAGTTCTTAGTGGCCAAGAGGTCAAAGCACATCAGACCTAATGACAGTTTCTCTCTCTCGTAGGAGAACACACATCTGAATCTTGCTGGAGAGCATATATTTTTCTAATAAGATTTCTCGAATATTCAGGCTGGTAGATACTGTTTGATAAAAGATAAAAACAGTATCTACTCAAATATGGGTATCCACTAAAACTAAAATTTAAGTAATAAAATATATATTGGTTAGCAAGATACTCACACTTGCGGCCATGTGCCTGACTAAAGTAAGCTTATTAATTACCTTGCTAAACATCACTGATAATGGTTAGCAAGTTAGTTCTAGAAAATTACTGTAATGACTTTCATCCTTATCCAGGCTACACAGATGTGGTCTTGTGCTTAAGTTATTAAGTTTAATAAATAACTTTAGCTTACTCACCACTAGCCAGGTGCCAGTTTTGAAGTTCACTACGGCTAGCATGAATAGTAGAGATGGTGAACTGGGCTCAAATTCTAGCAACGTCAGTGGCATTCATTTCAAAATAATGCTCTTGAGGCAGGCATGAATCCATCTTTTCCCATAAGATGTGGGTTAAATGGCAGAACAGATTAGGGCTCTTTTTTTCTTTTTTTTTTGGTTGGCAACCAGTGTAGGAGAAAGAGAAATCTGAACCTGAAAAACCAGGGAGGAGGCAATGGGAAATCATTTGACTTTCATTCCTAAAAACAATCATGGCAAAGAAACTTACTTGATAAGACTGGTGTTCTCTTTTTCTCTTCTTTTTTATCATTTCACCCCAAGCAAGATAATAAAATCACTAAGACACAAGGTGTTACCGAGTGTGAAAGTATCAGAGAAAAAAAATTCATTAAAAAGAGAGAACAATAACAGAACAGGAATTAAAACAGAAGATAATGATTGACATTGCATTTAAATTTTTAAAGATCAATGTAGATGAAGAACCAGGAGAGTGTTCTATAAACAAGAACTGACAGAGAAGAAACTGTTAGCATAGAACTTGCATCTAGCCATTTTAACTGTAAAATGTGACCTAGCTGCCAATCTAGTATTGCATTTAAATTCATAAAGTCTAAGTACCAAAGAGGATAGCTCATCAGAACAATTAGCATGAGAACCTATATAGAAAAGTCACAGGGAAGCTGTTAATGAGAAAGTGACTTAAGCTGAGATACCAGTCACTACTGTAAATGAATTTGATTTTTACTGGGTTCCTTATACTGTTAGCCTTGTGCCATACTCGTCTTGTGTTCTAAAGATACTGTCAATAAGAATAAAAAGGTTTTTAAGAAATTCAGCTCTTTTTTTTTTTTTTGTGAATTAAATATTAACTATAATTCTTTTAAGAAATTATTTTCATCCTTTATTTTACAATTCGCTGGGTATAATTTGCAGAATTAAAAATGTGAACAAATTTAGAAACTTTTTTTTTCTCCCTTTCCCGGTCAGGTTTTCCCACCAGTTTGAATGTTTGGAATCCTTGAACTCTGTTTAAATTTCATTTAATTGATTTATTTTCATGTGATGAGTTTTATGTTTGGATTAGATGTCGATTACTCAATCTTTTCTTAGATTAATAGCAAATACGATCTGACAATTTATATGAAAGACTAAACAATTAATTGATCCCATTAGATTCTACTCTTGTTCAATTTGATGTTTTACATGATCGATTCTGTCATCACATGTAAATCAATGGAAGCCTTCAATTTGAGTTTAAAACAGCGCCACCATTTAAGCAGACTGCCAAAGCCTCAATATTTGTTGCTTTGTTGAGTTGATTTATTCACCGAGATGCAACTGTGAAGGAAGCAAGATGCTGAAATTTGTGCTAGTTTGTATTGTCAATTCTTGTCTTGTTCCAACATAGCTGGACTCCTTTTGTTTTTTTATGTGTAGAAGAAACAATTACAGCAAAGCTATTTTGTTTTAATTTATTTTAGTTATATCTTTGAATTTATACATGAGTGTTTTCCATTTATAATTCATTTTTGTATTGCTCTTAGAGAACTCACTCCACTGCGTACAAAGGTAGTTGCAATTGTGTTAAAGAATGTCATATTTTAAAGCCTATTAAACATCCTTTTTTCGTGTTAATTACTGAATTTTTTTTTTCTTTTCAAATGATTTTAATGCTTATCTATTTGTAAGATGTTACAGGTATGACATATTTAAATATTTCTATTCATGTAATCTTTAAAAGACTGAGTTCTTTCCTTCTTTTTATATATATATATATATAATTTGGATTTTTATCTGTTCACACACACACACACACACACATATATATATATATATATATATATATAATATTTTTTTTTTTTTTTTTTTTTTTTTTTTTGAGGGTAATTTTTATTTTACTTTGCTAAAAGCTAAAAATTTTAAACTGGATTCTATTTATTTTAAATTTCAGAGTGACGGCAATTCAAGTTTTTTGCGGGCAGCAAGAGATGGGAACTTGTCGGAAGTTTTGGAATACCTGAAGGGCAGTACCGACATTAATACCAGCAATTCAGTAAATATTATATTTAATTTCTTTTTCTTAGCTTTGTTGAGGATTGATTGTTGGTTGTTTATCACTTAATACAGTAAATTTAGTATATTTTAACTTTCCTAATTCACTGTTAGATGACTGAAATTCTGTATTTTTTTAATATATTTTTGTATTATATTTGCAAATGTGTTCAATCTGTTTTGCTTTCATGCCTGTTGCTTTAGAATCAACAAATTAAAATTAAAGTAAAATTATGAATGATCCTTGAATTTACAAAATCAGGATTTTGAGAGAAGAGAAAAGGCAAAAAAAAAAAAAATTGTTTTTAGGAAGAGTTATTTGAAAAATGCTAATTAATTGATTTATTATAAAGAAAAATATTTTGTTTTCTGACTTTTTTATTTTTCTTTCTCTGTTTTTGATATAATTTTAAAAAACAAAAACCCTCATGCCCGCCCACAAGAAAATATATTTTATCATAAGTAATTACATAGTATCTTTGCTTTCATTCTCATTTCTATTATATTGGTTCACGTGATACCTTTAACAACAATAGTTGAAATATCATCGTGCCTTTTGATATTATCATAAATCGTTTGCAAAAAGATGATGATGGTATTTGAGATGTTCACATGACCTACTTCCTACTTCCAACTCTGCCTCTGTAGTAGCTGCAGACTGACTGATCATGTCAGTATTTTGACCAGTTTTCATTTGTGTACATTTAACGATGAATCATTTGAAGACTATAATTTCAGCAGTTTCCCCACCTTTGATTTCAAATGTCAATTATTTTAGAGTGCCCTCCCCCCAAATTGCTAAGCTGGTACCAGTAGTGGCATTTCTGAATATTGAAGAAGGCCTGCTACTGCAAGCAGCATCATCAGTAACAGCAACAGCAGCCGCTTCTGCCTACTTGAATTCATTACTGACTGAACCATGTTGCTTGCTACTTGCTGCTGCTGCTGCTTGTATTGATTTCTATGGTAAATCAGTTTTATCTCATCTGTACTCCAAGGTTGAAGCAAGCAGTTGTGGGTCATATTCTTCCACCACAGGCTGATTATTGCTCAGTCATCTACTGTTGCTCTTGGCACCAGTAGTAGAATCCATTCTGCACAAAGAATTTAAGAATTTCAACAGATTAAATAATAAAAAAAAAATAAATTCCCTGACCCCATTATGTTTACATCAGAATAATCAAGATAGTGCAAATTCTTTTTCTTTCTTTTATTATTATTTTCATTTTATTATAATTTTTTTTTATTTTATTATCATTTCTTTTTTTTTTTTTTTTATTATCATTTCTTTTTTTATTTTATTTGCTTTTTTTAACAGCTACTGTAAAACAAACTATTTTTTATTTCAGTCTCCGCTTCAGAATTTTCCAATTTTAAACCCCATCATTTTAAGAGTAAAATTTTTAACCTTAAAACAAAAATGATTAAATAGAATTTCACTAGTGTTTCATTTTATATCTGAGATAACTTTCTACATTTTTGAAGCAAACCGTCTTTCTTGGTTATATTTAATCATTTTGAGTGTCCTAATATTAAATAAGATCAAATAATCAAATATTATATGGAAATCAAATAATTTGAACATAAAAATATTTAAATATTTTTATGTTCAAATTATTTGATTTCCATATAAGTAGATAATTGAGTTTCTCAGTTAAGAAAATATATTTTCCTATTTACACTACATTCAAATGTCGAGTTTTTTGTTTGTTTTTTTTTTTTTAATTTTTTTACTATTTATAATGAACAAAATGATTTCTAGCAAATAATAGAATAAGGCTTGTCTTTTCATTTTGTTAAATGGATTATTAAATTATGATGGATGTTTTCTACTTAGTTGTAAATTCTTCAAAATTATTTTTTTAAATTTTAGAACAGTATTTTTTTTTTTTTTTTTTTTTTTAGAACATTGTTATTTTTGAAAATTCTAGAAATTGTTCAGTTTCACATCACTGAAGAGTTTGTTTTTTTTAAATTCTGTTGAAATATTTGAAAACTTTGGTATAAAATTAAAAAAATAAATAATAAAAAAAGAACTAAAAAGTTAAAACTGCCTGAGAAATATTGATTTGATTGACACTCATCAGAAATAATCTTTAGTAATATTTTATCATCATTTGAGGGCTGTTTCAGCATCACTGCTATTACAACCGCTACTATATGAGGATGATATTTGCATTATGACAAATTCCATAGTAGTAAAGCACCGAAACTGCCTCTTTTTGGTGACTCATTCCCTTGCTATGCCTATTTAGACATCTGTTGTTAAAAGTGGCCTGTGAAAGAAAAAAAAATCTATAATCCAAGTGTGTTTTTTGTTAATTCACTAATATTTTTTTTTATAAAAGTAACCAAATGTTTGAAAATGTGTTGTATTTTTTCTTTTTAAAAAAAACAAAACAAAATAACATGCTAGGGAGAGAGAGAGAGAGAGAGAGAGAATGCACTACAGTGCAAATTGTCTTCATTATCATAAATTCATAATCCCTAAAGATATTTAATGGCACACTTAGAAAAGAGTTCATTTACCCACTTGTTGAATTAATGGGTAAGATCTTTATTGTTAATAGATACAATAAAAATATCTTTTTTATTTTCTATTTTTTTTTTTTTCCATAACATATATGTGCCGAATAAAGTTAATGTTAAAAACGATAAAATAAAAATCTATAATTGTTCAGCCTCCCCTAATTAGGGTCCACAATCTGAGAGAAGATAATGTGTTCACTAGCCATTGTTATTCTCAAGCATTCCTTCTCACTTCTGGGTTGCATTCCTCCCCATTTGATCCCAGGTTTCCTCAATTCCTCCCCAATTTTGAATTTTAATTAAGTAATTGTTTCACTATTATGCTCATAACTGAAATTCATCCTCTATTTCTCCCCTGGCTAAGATTACTCCCACTCAGAGTTAAAGCTCATCTCCAAGGAAACAAATGCCTCCCTTTGTGAAAGTCATTGTTCCAGAAATATTGTTTGAATATTATCGCATATTAATGTTGATTATTATTTGCCTCATAGTTTGAATCTCTGGTAAAGGCATCAAATATTTATAAAAAAATATTTGTTTTCAGACTGTTATAAAACAAGAGCTAGTTGAAAATATATAATCAGGAAATAGGCATGAACCCTAAACTTGTAGTTATATGTCTACCTTATCTTTGGCATCTGTCAAAACCTGGCGGGTATTTTTGCAGCAAGATGGAGTGATGGTTATAATAAGGACATTGAAATCAAAAGCTCAATGTTTAACACCCTGCTTCAGTACTGATATTCTCCCATTAAATATATCTTCAATGTTTAATTTACTTTTGAAAAAAAAATACTTAAAAAGCATGATTCAACTTCATTAAATAATAATTAAACTAAACAAAAGATGAGATTAAATGATATTTCGGAAGACAAACGGTTTTGGGAGGCAAGTATACTGCAGTTTTAGTGATCGTTGTCAAAGGAAAATAAGTAGTAAGTAGGCTAATAAATGTTGAATAAATAATTTCCAATACATAAGATCAAATAGTATTTGGACTAATGTTGCAAATAGAATGAATTCCACTGTAGTGAAACATATTGGTATCATTAAGTGAATGTTCTTTTGAAACAAAACAAAAAGGACAAAATGTTATATATATAGGAGGGTTGGTTGAAAAGTTCATAGGCTGACCAAGATACTGTCATGGAATGTGACTAAATAAGATTTATTTGTCAACATAGTCCTCCTTACAGTCCACACACTTCTTCCATCAGTGTTGCAGTGCTTGAATCCCATTGGTGAAGAAGCTTTCCTCCTATTGGTCAAAAAAAGTCATCAACAGCAGATATTACCTCATCATCATTGTAATACTGGTTCCCAGCCAATTAAACAGATGATAGTCAAATTAGGAGAATGAGGAGGGCTATCAACTAGTTCAAAACCACAGTCACACACAGCAGCCATTGAAACCAAAGCCCCTTTCGCCAGTCTTTCTGAGTGTTTCATTTTAATAGCTTTTCATAACTACCTCAGCAAGTTGGCATAGTACTCTCCATTGATGGTGTGGCCCTTTTGAAGATAGTCAATAAACTCAATGCCATCACCCTCCCTGCTGATGAAATGAACAATTTGGCTTTCTTTGGATCAGGTGAGAAGAGGTGTTTCAACTGAATGGATTTTTTCTAGCTCAAATTGATGAACCCAGCATTCATCCTGGGTTAAAACATTCAAAGAAACCAGCTGGATCTGCCTCAATGTCAGATTTTCCATGATGTGATCAACCTGGTGCATTTTTGTTCAGGTATCAGAAGACATGGCACCCACCGAACAAAAACCTTCATTATGCCAAGTTCATTGTGCAGAATATTCTCAACTCACTCACAGAATATGCTAATAGCATTGGCTATTTGATTTATAGTCAATCGCTTGTTATCCATTGCCATATGATGAACATGATCAATGTTTTCCTTGGTGATGGCTGTTGCAGTATATCCAAACCTTTCAAATTCAAAACTCTCCCTTTCCCTACTAAATTCAGCTAGCCTCTTTTGCACTATTGATAAAGCTGGAGTGTCATTCCCTAATGAAGAAAGCATGCCAGCATGAATGTCTTTAGGGGCTAAACCCCTTTTCTGCAGGTACTTGATAACACCATTGTGTTATCAAGTACCTGCAGGTGAGGATATGTGGGAAAGATAAGTTAGCTCTTCAGTTAAATAGGTCAAAATTGTAGTGGTTGGGAAAGCATTTCCTTGGGAGTCTGTTCGACATAATAGCAGTTCATGGGAAGAAGCTGTCTGAGTTGAACTTCTTTCTAATAGAGAGAAAACATCCCCTTCATATTCTCTCTCTCTCTCTCCCTCTCTCTTTTTTTCTCTTTCTATTTTTTTTTTATTTGCTGGCAATTTTTAAGCATTTAATGGATTTTTTTTAATCAGACATTATTTCCCAGTACTATAAATGTTATATTTAGTGGGCACTCATTTTCAGTAAACAGCCCTGTTTTTGTTATCAGTGAAATTAATATAT